GAGCCTTGCAGTTCCCCTTGCTTATGCTACTGCCTTCTTTCTGTTTTACTTTATGGTGAAATATTAAATTTCCTTTCCAATTAGTTTCCTTTCATATATAGTCTAGAGCTATATTGTTTTAACCATGATAATTAAAATTAACATCCTAAAATTTGGTATCAGTATGAATTTATATTAATTTTATTTTCTGCAGCATTGAAGAATTACTTTTTGTTTCTCCATGTCTTTTAGTTGCTGATATCACAAAAGTACATTTTTATAGATTGCCTGTCCCAAAATGCAACTCAATAATTCTTCTAAATGCGCTACTTTCTTAAATCTTGTAAAAAAAGAAAAAAAAAGAGGAGAAAACCATAATGTGGGAGTTAAAGCATTGTTCCAGTACCACTATTTTTACAATCACCCATGGTTTCACTTCCATCAGCCTGTGGCTTTGTTTTCGACACTCCGGCTCCAGCATTTGTTGTCAAGCAAGAAGAGCAGGAAGGAACAAACGTTCACACCTCCACTGTCTGCAAATCCACTTTTGAAGGACACTTTTGTTGAGTATCGATTCTTGGTGCAGAGTTTTGTGTTTTTTATCTCTTTCTATTTTGGTTCACTATCATGTGACTCCCATAGTTTTTTAAGAAACTAGCTGCTAAAGAAGTAGTCTGGTATGTATTATTTTTGTCTTTCAAGAACCTTTGTTTTTTGAAAATTAAGCATAATGTGTCTGAGTGTTGGTCAGTTTGAGTTCATCTTACTTTGAGTTCATTGAGATGTGAGTGATTATGTCTTTTATCAAACCAGAGCAGTGCTCAGCTGTTATTTCCCCAAATATTCTGCTTGTCCTTTTTTTTCTCTCTTCTTCTGGAATTTTCACCAACTGTAAGCACGATAGATTAACAATGTTCTACGGGTCCCTTACGCTTCAATTACTTTTTCTCAATATTTTCATTCTGTAGCTCAGACTGTGTGGCTTCCGTCCTATCTTCATGTTTATTTATTTTTTGCCTGTACAAACCTGTTTTTAAATTTCTCTAGTGGAATTTATTGTTGTTTTGTTTTATTCTGTTTTATGTGAGAAGTTTCTATCAAATAGTTCAGGCTGCTTCTGAACTCACCATATAGCCCAGTATGGCCATGAGCTCTCAGCAACCCTGTCGTAGGCTCCAGATGCTGATTACGGGGTGTTCACCACGCTAGCATGGTGGCTTGTCAACTGGCGGTCAACTGGTAACACCTAGCTGAACTGACATAGCATGGTGCTGGGCGCAGGAGGCCTGCCTGAGGATTGTTGCCAGCAAGATAAAAGGGAGAACTGAGGAAGAGAAGATGTTGGGAGACGCTGCTTCTCCTGGGGCTGCTGGTTCTCCCGGAGGAGCTTGTCATGCTGGCTTTTCTGACAGGAACTCAGCTGTTCTCATCATAGGAGGAGCCAGGGACCCTGTTGTCACTGAGAATGGCTGTGGTTCACTGAGGGAGCGCTGGTCCTCACTTTAAAGCATTACTTCCTGGCTCCAGAGAGGAAGATGTCGCACTGTTCAGTGTCCTGAAAATGTTTGTTGCACTGGCTTTTCTAGTAGGGACTCATCGTCAGAGGAGTTCTGGACTTCGTTGTCACTGAAGATGGTTGTGGTTCTCTTCAGGGGAACTCCGGTCCTACCTTGAGCATCGCTTCCTGGCTCCAGGGCAGATCCTCCAACCTACTAGCACAGACTTCCTGGCTTCCACCACTGATCTTTGGGCCTTTCCAGCTCAGGTCCTTGGAACAACCCTGAGCGAGACATTGTTATGTGCTCTAGGCCCCCAGTGGGACTTGTCCGGGGAATATCATGGTCTCAAGGTCTTCAGTTGGACTTAGGCAAGACATTGCTGTGGGATCCAGGCCCTCAGCTGGATTCTTTGGGTCTCTAGTATGTGGACAGATTTCCTGCACTTTATACAGAATTCTCTGGGTGATGGTCATAAAATAATCCGTAAATTATGTGGCCAGGATTGTTTCCCTTGCAAACCTTAACTACAACACCTGATGAAAATTTCCTTTCAACTACTGCACTTCTCAGATCCTGGGGTCCTTCCTTCCCTCCTTCCTTCCTTCCTTCCTTCCTTCCTTCCTTCCTTCTTTCCTTCTTTCTTTTTTTCTTCCTTCCTTCCTTCTTCCTTTTTTATTTTCTTTGTTCTGGGCTTTTTACTCCTTTGTCGATGTTTCTACTTGGTTTTCTTCACCTACGGATATTTCCATGTATGGTTTTCTTGACCTCCACATCTTTATTTTGTTGAGCATCTTTAAGAGTTACCCTCATGTCTGTCTAGTAGACATACCTTGGATATTTCTAATAGAAAGCTTCTATTGATTAGTTTTGTTTTTCTTCTTAAAAAGTAGACTTTCTTCTGCCTTTGCCTGCCTGGTGATCATTTGCTGAAGATTACACATTCAAATCTTCTAATGTTAACTATGGAAAACTTATTCTCCTTCCTCAAAGTAGGATTTTTTACAATGGTTTTTATTTACTTTTAATGTTGAAAGCTATGTGTTGAAGATCAGGCCAGGGTGTAAACTTCCTAGGTCCTTTTTGAGTCTTTGACTGGGTATGCACTTCCGCTTTTTCTGCCTACTAAAATGCTGCTCAGTTGCTTAGTCTTTAATGTCTGTTTCCTGAGGCGAGCATGAAGTCAGGTGGGCAAGGGCTACAGCAGGCACCTCAGTGCGTGCTCAGAGCCACTGCTGCGCCCAGAGCTGCTCCCGAGCGCACAGGGCATGAGCAGCGAGGAGCCCGTTACTCCAGCTGGAGTACGTGTGCCTGAAGAAAACGTTGTATTACTCTGTGAATGTTCACACGTGATTACAAGGTGCCATGAATATAAATTCTGAAGTTATAAATAATTTTTAAAGAGCAAATGAATTTACAAATACAGAAATCCACAACTATTGATAATCAGCTATAGTCAATTTTCTTATAGCAATAAAGGAAGAATAAGACGAGCAGAAACTATATGACTTGCAACCATAATGCAGAGCACAAATAATCATACTGAAACCTTGAATAATATATGTTTCCACTTACATAATTTTCAAAATCTGGCAACTGTATGTGGTAACAAAAATCTGTATAACTCTTGCTTCAAAGTGATAATATTTAGCATTTTGATAACAAAGACACGAGGAGACTCTATGGAGGCCCACTCCAATAAACCTACAAATTTGCACATGCTAGATTCTAAGCTGAAAATTTTGTACAGCTATAATTGTATCTAAATAAATCTATTTTTTGGCAGTTCAATATAGCTTATTAAATACTGTAGAAACATAATCCACATACTTAAGTGACTTTCTAAAAATATACATAATATATGTGCATTCAGATATTTTTATTTGGGACTGCATTTTTATGGAAATTTTGTGGAGAAATACTTGCATCAAGCATATTGTATTAATTAGTCGTATATGCTTCCATTACTTGAGAAACTTTCACAGGATTATCAAACTAAGCTCATAAACTTTCTCTCCAGTTATTGACCAAAATAATAACAATAATAATAATAAATAATAATAATAATGCTTGCTCATGCATTTTACACACCTATGGTTTCCGTCCAATATGAGTTATTTTGTCTTTTGCAAACACCAGGTATGATGAACGCTTTCACACACTGCTTTCATATATAGGATTCATGTCAAGTGTCTTTTACAATTACCAGCTGTACTGGAAGCTTTGCAACCTTGCATATATACAGATTTTCTCCCATGAGACTTCATGTTAAATAAATCTTATACCTTCCTTAGCACTGTTGTAGAATTTAATGATCATAATGGACACTCTGAAAGTAACACAACTTATGTGGCCATGACTACAGCACTTGAACACTGTGATCCACTTTTTCTAGTTTGCAGTTTGACGTCATCATCTGAAAGTGAGGTTTTATGAATGATCAGTGATAGCAGCATTTCTCTCCATTGAATATTTAGTAGAAATACGTGTGCAGTGAGTGTAAGTTTCTAGTTCAATCTGAATTTAGAGACCAACCTAGGCCGGCCTGATAGCTCAGCGGACTAAAGCACTTGCCTAAGCACATACCGAGACGAGGGTTTGATCCCCAGTGTGCCATGCTGGCCCTGCCTCCCGGGCGGGCTGAAATGACAATTGGGACTGGGCACGGTGGCACGAGCCTATAATCTGAGCCATTAGGAGGCTGTAAACAGGGGAATCGCTGTGAGTGGTATCTACATAGGGAGATTCTGAACACGCTGCAGACCCTGTCTTAAATACAGAGAGAGAGAGAGAGAGAGAGAGAGAGAGAGAGAGAGAGAAAAGGCTGACCTGAGTTTTCCTGAAATATGAATATTAAGCTGCTGGCAGAAGTCTTCACCACGCCAGACTATATGAAGTCTATAACTCGCACTGGCCTATCTTGAGCTGAAAGGGGAACTGAAGCCAACTTGCTGGGGAGTCAGCAGTCTCGAAATCCGAAGCCAGAGAGGCAAGTACAGCAATATTTATTCTCACGATACATCATAAGCGACCATTATCCCCTGGCACTTGCAGCCTTTCCAAGGAAGTGAGTCCGGCTGCGGTGGCACTCAGCCCTGGGAGCAGGGTGAGCGGAGGCCACACACTCCCCCATGGCTGAGCGAGGCGCGTACCAGCTGCTTTGCCACTAGTGAGCAGGCTTCTCAGTGGCTGTTTTCTAGGAAGTCTGCACTTGCCACAGCTTTTGCTAAGAGTGAAGCCCAGGGTGACCTCACCCTGGTTCTGGGAGGCTGACCGAAGAGCCCGTCAGTGTCTCCGTGGCCTCTGCTCTGGACACAAACAGCAAAGGCCGTCCAGGGGAGCAGGGTTCGACGGCTGTGGTGTGTTCACGAATCTGGTTTGGTAAAACCAAGTGGCTTGCCTGGCCCTCCAGCCTCGGGGACGGGAAAGCGGGCAGAGGATGTGGGCCGCCTCCTCAGGCAAACAATCACTAACACGACCAGACGGCAATGGACGAGGGTAACAGCAGCAGCCGTTCGCTCCTACCTGCACCACTTTCTGGGACTGCACATCCACAATCAGGACTCTGTTCAAAGTCGGCTGGGCGGCGTAAATGAACCGGTCCTTGACGTTGACGGCCGAGGCCCACACACACCGCTGGACCTCATCTCGCTCAGCTCTGGGGCACACCTCACCCTGCAGCGGGAGACAGAAGGTGACAGATACCACGGGTGAGACTGAAGCGCAGGCAGGAGAACGTCCAAGGGAAATTCACGCTTGGTGCTGTGCTACGTTCAGCCTTCAGCGTTAAATAGAGCTACAGAAAGTTTTAAATAAAACAGAGCCATTAATTCTCACCACTCAGAGAAGTCGATGCGAATGAGGTCCCTGGCAGGTGAATTTCACATCCTTGTTTACTGACTTCTCTTTTTATAAGTGCCCCTCCCCCCCCCGTGTGTCACTATGCAGCGCGGACTCGTAGATCCTCCAGATTTCTGCCTCCCTAGTGCTGGGACTACAGGCCACGCCCAGACTCCATCTCCGGCTCAGCACGCCTGGTGGCGCGGCCGGGGCGACAGGCGGCGCCAGGGATGGAACCCTGAATGATTTTTCTAAAGAAATGCGCTGCCTTTGGTTTTCCCCACTTGTTTGTAGCTGGACAATTTCATAATTGCACAAGAAAGCCAGTGTCTCTCCTCTTTTTCTGGTCTCAAGCTTCTTCCGCAGAGCACAGGACGCTTGGCCTGCAGCGCCTTGCGGAGTGCGGCGAGTGCTCGCGGGAGTGGACAGGGCAGCGAGTCCGCCCGTCCCTCAGGAACTGCAGCCGCCAGCCCGGGGAAGGAGAGACCAGCACGCGCGGCCAGGCAGCCCCGCTCTGAGCCCGCGTCCTCGGTTTGTCCAGGTGAAGCTGCCCGAAGCCCTTCCATTGTCCCCAGGCCTGTGCTCCAGAGCTGCGTTCTGCAGGGATCACAGAGTTCTTAGTAGACGGTCACTCAAAACAACCACGGACACAAAAGTTCTAATTCCTTCTTTGATTTTCTCAGTAAATGATTGTTAAGGGGATTCATCAGTTTTTGTGATTCGTGCTGGGTGATACGTTATAAGCAGATGTAAATTTAAAATATTAGTTAACTCATGATTTATATCTTCATTTTTAAAATTGATTAGTGATCCTCACAGTTTATAGTTAGAAAATCCACTAAGAAGAAACATTTGTTGAACTGCAAATTAGATATATGTGCAATGATAAATACCTATTTACATAATAATAATGATGAAATGGTAAACAATTACTTCAATGTTTCACTTGATTTATTATTTAGATCTGCATATTAATGATTAATATCTAATTTATTTGATTTGCATAATCCAGTTATCTCATAAGCTAAATTATGTCTTAGTTTAATAGAATATTAGTGCTTCTGGACAGATACCATTAGCTATCTTCACTTAATAAACATGAAACAAATCAATAACACTTTCAAAGCCGGTCACAGTAGCACATGACCACGCTGAGGCAGGAGAATCTCTTGATTCAAGGAGTTTGAGACAACGCTGGGTAGCATTTTAAGCCCATTTCACAAAGCTGGCCCCACTTTCCTTTCAAATTTCACTACGCCTTCATTTTTATTTAGAAATAATACTGAAAGCAGATCGCCGCTTGTAATAGTAACTACATCAGAGTATCACTGGCACAGCTACTGCAGGTGTTTGTTCTGTTTGCATAAAATATAGAAAATAACCTAAATACAAGAGGGCTTTGAGAGAGTTGCGGCCTGTTGCTACGCTTTCCAAACACTGGAGCCAACTCCAGGGGAGTCTAGAGCGCCTGCGACAGTGAAGGTCCAGGCCAAGGCTCCTGCTCAGCGAGCGGCCCTGGCGCTCTGCTCTGCGGAGCTTCGCTTCTCGTCGGCGCAAGACCCACCAGCAGCGCTTCAGGCAGGGAATGAGCCCTGCGGGTGGAGCGCACGCAGCCACGATAAGGGGCGCGGGGGGGGGGCAGTGACCCCGCGGAGCCCCAGGAGGCAGTCTGCACTCAGCACCTGCTCTGGACAGCGCTCGCCCAGTCTCACTCCTCACATCCGCGGAAGCCTTCACTCCAGCAGCGCTCTCAGTGTTGCAGATGAGAACTTTGCGGCAGTTCAAAGATTGCGAGACATGAGCACCAGAGAGGCGTCCAGAGGGGAAGTGGGACTTAAGTTTGATGAAGGCTTAGAATGTAGGGAAGCTGTTTACAAATTCTTCGCTGTTGTGTGAAATCTGCCAACAAACTTGCCAAGCAGTGAGGAGTGTGAATGACCGCAGACCTGCCAACTGAGTAACCACAGGACCAGGCTTTTCCCTGCTCTGTGCTCCACAAACTTCTCCACAGTAAATAAAGTCCCCGCTGGGGATCGTTTTCTACCTCCTGCTGCTGCTGCTGGAAGGCATCGCTGACCTGACTTCCAACCATATCTACAAAGCTATTAAAAGTTTCTGACAGTCACGCTGGATTTGCTTTGCATTATTTTATGTCATTATTTCAGATGACAGCCTATTAAATCCCATTTAATAATAGAATGCATATTTTTCAGATTACATAGATTAATATTTATTTCTGTGCAAGAGAATTGAAAAACAATTTTGTCGATGAATTAGACTTTTAATGGATTAAAAAGAAGATAAAAATATCAGAGACAAAAATAAGATTATGATAATATATACTGAAGAAGAAAGCTGTCAGGAATGATATCAAAGTGTCATTAAGTCACATTCTGTAGGAACATACTCCACTGAGAGAGAAAGGGATTAATAAGATATTAAAGTTAATGAAGATGAGTCAATAGAAGAAGATAATTCTAGTGCATAATTAGAGCTTAGTCCCACTGGGTTATTTCCATATTATACCACATTTCCTGCATATTCATTACCTTGTCCCCAAACTTTAAAGGATTACAAAGCATGTTACTAGGGGAAAGTTTAAGTTTACACCTTACTATAATGTCGTGGTACCTGGTCTTCATTAGTACTTTGTCACTTTTATTTACTGTGACTGCTTTGCTCGCAGTCTCCCAGGCCCCATCATTCTTTCCTCATCTGCCTCCTCCACGTGGCACGCTCTGCGCGACTTGGGAAGGACTGGCCGTGTCTGCAGGCGCCACCCACTCCTCTGCACACAGCTCAGTGAGTTCTTGGCTTGGATCCTTCTTTCTCATTCTGGAGATTTATCCTTTATTCTTTCCTCTCTGAAAGGCTCGCAGTACCATCCGTTCATGACTGCATGAAGTCTCAAATCACTCAAACACACACCTTTCCCAAAAACTTGGGAAATAAACTATAAAGAACATTAACTGGATTCATTTGCTTTATGTGTAAATCATTTACCTTCTTTCTTCAGACATTTGAAAAGCTTTCTAAAACCTCAGTTTTACTTCTCAAACATCCATTGCAACCACTCAGACTTCCAAGAGCCTTTCATTATATCATCTTTTCCAAAACTGATGTCTTCAAACTCAGCAGTGGCCCCAGAGTTTCCAATAACCCTTCCCCATCTCTTCTAGGAGACCAGAGTGTCTCTTCCTGAGGAAGTCCACACAGAGCTGCACATGCAAGTGAAACGTGCTTGTAGAGAGGGCCTGTTGCTGCACTTCAAGTTGCTTATAATTTCTACCAGTTGGGGCTTTGGAAACATTTGAGTTCTTGTGAAATGTTTTTCATTCTTCTAAGGCAGAGACCGACAAATGAGAGTCCCAAGGCCAAACTTAGTCCAATTTCTGTTCTGATGTAGTCTGGCAGCTAAGAATGTTTTCTCTATTTTATGGTGAATGGAGAACTACAGAAATAAAGGATACGCTTTTCTGACTGAAAATAGTAGGTGAAATTCAGACTTATCTAGCTAAAAGTTCAGAGGGACACACACATTCCTTTAAGTGATGTCCCTGACTGTCTTCATTGCTGTAATGACAATGACCACTGGGACTGCAAAGCAGAAGAAAATTATTGTTTGAGAAATGTTGCTGCCCAGTTTACTGTGCAGCTTTGGATGTTTTAGTCCTTGTAGCTAAATTCTTTCTGAATATAGTAGCTTCTTTATTTCTGTTGCTTAATTGTAACATCAGGAAAGCCAAGGCTCAGACTAATTCTCTGCTCTATTTTCTCTATATTAAATTCCTCTGATGGCTCTTCTATCCTGATTACCTAATTAATAGCATGGCCACATGACAACCAAAGATAATTATCTTGCCTTGACATTTATATGGCCTCCTTCTATCTCTGCCCTGAAAACTTGTTCAGTGGGAGCTGGCTTTCCTTTTCCCTTTTACCAAGATAAATGTCCTCTTTTGATTTGGTCAACAGCAAGCAATGAGCTTGCAGGCATGAGCCTGCAGGGCCAGTAGCAATTCCTCCTTAAGGACTACGGGTCATGCTGGTTTTCCTCAGGTCTAACCTCTTATAAATTTATACTCTGAACCACAAGTTGGTCAGCTAGTGTTTCTCTATCATTCCCAATTGAATGCTTATGCTGTTTTTGTTTCTCGTTTTCTAAGTGCAAAAGAGGAAATTAGTAGTGTAGTATTTTCTCAGTAAGCAAATGCTTAACTGCCATTTATTATAGCTGAAAACAGGAATTAAGAATGAGTGTACAGCCTCAGTTATGCCGCTGTAGTCGGCCATAGTCACTGAGACACTGGCTTCCCGAGCAGCTCAAATCACAGTGTAGCTGGGGATGGCTGGCAGTCGGGATACCATTGGTCACCACGCCCTAAACAACATCAAACCTGAAAATAGCCATTTGAAAGCTTTCACAGTCATTTGACACTGCATGACATCTATGTGCGGGTCATCTTGGACAGGATTTGGACCAGTGTGGGTGTTGTCCAACTTGCTTGGGGATTTCACCTGGTAAAAACAACCTACTACTTTGGAAAAAGTAGACTGAGCCTGAGTTATTTCACGTAAGGGTCAAGATAGCTAAGACAATGCTGCTGCCAATTTCTATCAGTTCACTGGAGGGAACAGTTAGTGCGTGTACGGTTTGATCAACTTTGCATGCTTATATCTTGTAACATGAGCAATACTTTGAAGACAACAACGTGCACTGTAATAACTATAGTTAACTTCCTAACACCTTGCCTTGAAATTCTGTACTGTTTTGTTGTGTCTTTAAAACAAAAAAGGGAATAAGGATTATAGACCTTAAAAACCTACCCACAAAT